AAGGCAAGTTAGGGTTTAGGGTTTAGGGTTTAGGGTTTAGGGTGCTTAAGAAACCTCATCTGAACCCTTTTATAAGTAGTAGGCCTTATATAGCATCCCTTACAAAAAAAAACCTTTTTGTTCGAAGGCCCCTACATGAAGAAAGCCCTAAACTCCCTGAACCCTGCCTTCAGCTACCATAACCTCCGTTTCTGTAGGTTCGTATTGGAAACCCCAATAAATAATGAATTTTCAGCGACCCTACAATAAATGTTTTGGCAGGTTAAGGTGAACCCTAAAAGGGGTAGTTCTCAAAACTAGCTTCCCTTTTCAGGTCCCAAATAGTACGACACCCTGATGAAAAAGACTCCAGAAAGGAACCTTCAATTTGAAGAACGACCCATATACTATGTGGGTACATGGACCCTCAAACCCTAAACCCTAAAAGTATCCCAAAAGTACCCTACCCTTGTAAACCCTCCCTAAACCCTAAACCCTACTAAGACCCTATATCGGCGTTTCAGGATCCTGGCTCTGGTCAACTTCCTCATCTGCCGTACCGCCAGCCCACATTTGGCGGCTTTTGTGATGTGTGTGTGTGTGTTTGAGTTGGGAGAGGGTTCCTTTAAGGGTGTCTTGAAAGGGTTCTTAGAAGGGTTTCTACGAGAGGTTTTGTCTGTCAGTTTGCATCCCACTCAAAGCTCAAGCAAACACACAAAGAACACTAGGTTGTGGAGTTTCCGGCATAGGGCTGTTGCGTTTCGGGTTGCGCGTGACCAGAAAACACGTACAGTACTCAAATCCCGTGCTACTTGTTGGGATATTACCTTCAGCACTTTATGCTTAGGTGGTGTTTTTTCCCGAAGTTTGGGTGACGGTGCCCAGCGGGCAGGGTTTTTGGGGATTTCAGGGTTTGGGGTTTGGGCGGTTGGATCTACACTTCCGCGGATCCTGCAGACAAAATTCTGGGGCCTTGGATTGGCCATGTGGTTCTACCGCCATACATACCCTAAACTCCTTATTAACCCCAGCCGCTAGACCCTAAATGCAAGTAGTGTCAGCCGCAATCGCTTTTGTTCTTGCTGGCCTGGTTTGTATTTTTGGATGCCTTTCCAGATGCAAGAGCCGGGACGGCATCATCGCGCAGTCATGGACTCGGATCCATACGCAGAAATCTCAAAGATTATGTGTAAGTTCTTGTGCTTACCTTCAACTCTACTGGGATCGTTCCTATGAGTTGGTGTTCATGTCTTACCTTTACTTATAAGATCATAGGACTTAGCAACTGAGGTTCTAAACAAGGTAACTATACTATACTTATAACCCCAATTAGGGTACTTATGACCCTACTTACTAAGTCCCAAGATCCTCCAAGAGGGGCCTAAACCCTAAACCCTAAACCCCTAAACCCTAAACCCTGAGCCCTAAACCCTAAACCCCTAAACCCTGAACCCTAACCCCGAGCCTGTCAGCTTATCTGATTCAGCGGTGACTTGGCTTGGCGTGCCTCAAAACCCTGCCGATCTGAGTGTTCCGGGTCTACGGCTATGCGTTGACGCAAACCTCTAAGGAACGGCCGGTTCGGGGTTTAGGGTTTAGGGTTTAGGGTCTAGGGTTTGGGGTTTAGGGTTTAGGGCTTGCGGGTATGAGAGTGCGTAGGCAAGACTTTAAGAGCCACGGGACGTTTTGGCGCTGCACCAGGATCCTCCAAGCTTAGTCGAGCCCATAAACCCGAAAGAGAGCCAGGCACTGTGTATGGGTACCTCATCGTTGCAGCAGAAACCAAGCGACTTTGATCGCAGCAAGTCTCGACGGTCTAGATTTTAGAGTTTAGTTTGTTCGGTGTAGCTCGAAAACCTATGTTGTTTTGGTCCGGGGTTTCCGTATTATAGTGTCCATGAATATCCCGTGGAAAACAGCAAGTTGTTGTTACATTGTCGCTGCTGCAGGTAACGCCCCAAATCCAAAGCCAATGTTGACAGTGTTGGATGTCTTGAAATTTCGGCGTCTAGAAAACTGGCATGTGAAATTGGCTGGAAATTAAAATGGCTTTGGATTTTGGTTGGCTGTGTAGGTACGTATGGCCTGCGTGAAGATTCACGAGTTATGTGTGTACATACATATATGAATGAGTTTTCATAACATGATATTATCAACATGGCAATACCAAGATATATGTGTGCATATACATATACACATATATACATACATATATATATATATATTATCAACATGGCAATACCAAGATATATGTGTGCATATACATATACACATATATACATACATATATATATATATACATGTCTCTCTCTCTCTCTATATATATATATATACAAATATACGTTCATACATACATACATACATACATACATACATACATACAGACAGACATACATATATACATACATACATACATAGATATACATATATATATATATATGTATATATATATATATACAAATGTACACACCCATATATACATACATACATACATACATACATAAATACATACATACCTACCTACCT